CTAAATCATAATTATTCTTTTTCAATATATTTATTTCTATATAGTATTGATCATTGGAATTTACATCGTGAAGTTATTGTTACAATTATGGAAAATCATATATTAATTGTTCGTTATAATTTTGTACGAGAACGGATTATTTATTCACAAATAATTCGTTTTGATGATATTACTTCAGTTACATATGGTCCATGTTCTTATCCAAATAAATCTCTAATGGGGTAAATAAAGATTTTTCTCTTTAAATATTCAATGATTGATTTAGTTTTATTTTTGTTTTCCTTTATTTAGTGAATATCAATATGGTGGAATTAAAATTATTCATGGAGATGAACCATCGTTTTTGACACGTTGGAATCCAGGTGCTCAAACTAATGTACATGTATTCGTATCACATCATTTAGCTTATAATGATAAAGAACGTGAAACGATTTATTATAATTGTGATGAATTTATTCAATCACTTGATACTGGTAAAAAATAACCAAATTGATGGCTTTTTTTTTCACACATAATAAAATTTGTTTATTTTTAAGCTTTAAATGCATATCGTCGAACACAAAATAAAGAAAAACTTGAATTTGTTGAAGATAAAATTATTATTCCAAGTTATGCAAATGTTTGGTCTCTTCTCTTTAATCAAAGTTATTTAGGCTTTAATCGTGATCGAAATGGAGCTAATTGGTAATGCTTTATTCATCAAAAAAATATGCATATTATATACATATACATATACATATATATAAATAAACATATTAACTATTTGTTTTTTATTGATGTCCCATCAGCTAGTAAACTAAGCCATAAGATATTTCGATGTAATTGTTTCATATAATCAAATAAATTATCATTATTTCCTTCATTTTGTAATTCTTTTATTGTTCGAATTAATGCTGCATTTTCTCGAAGTAACTACAAATGAAAATAAAAAAAAAAAAACAACGACGCATTAGATTAGAATTCAATTGAAATTATACGATTAAAATATTTTTGCAAGAAAATTTTTCTATACAAATAAATAACAATATGGATAATAAAGAATATGATAATGAAGTGTCAATAGTTTTATTAGAAAACATTATTTAAATCATAGAGCGACTTAATTATTAGGAAATTTTTGTCAGAAGAAAAAAAATAATTAATCTAAGAATTGATAATAGAAACAAAGTTCCTTTTCAATCATTTCTTTTGTATTACTGTAGATTGGTGTTTACATTATGACATAGAGAATAGAGTCAATTATACATATATGTATATATTATGTTTGATTTCGGTACTAGGTTAGTTTACTTTTTTTTATTTATTTCCGAATAGATGCATTTTCATAATGATGAGAATATAGAGTAAAGCAGTGAATAACAGTATATCGGTTTTTGAGTGCAAGCGTGTCTAAAAATTTCTTTTTTCGAAAGGTAAGTATGTTGTTTTGTAGTCAGTTAGATTTACAAGTAATTATCTACTTTGTTCATAATCAGCAATGAAATTTTAGCAAACAACCGATCTAACTCAACGTTCTACTTGCCTGACTGCTCGACCTCTTCATAAACATAGGACCAGGCATTTTATTATAACATACAATAATGTAACATAGACTAATATTATATATATGAACAATCGAACGAGACGAATTTTCGACTCAGATTGATTCCTTGCTTTAGATTTATCGATAATTAGTAACAAGATGAGTGATCACTTGTGAACCTTATTGACTATAAGAAATATATGTTCAATCTTCCAAAAAAAGAAATATTGAGTCATGTCCTTACTCAAAAATTGAATAATTGTAAAATCAGATATTTTTATACTCTCATCATCATCATTATGCACTACTTTCAGATAAATAAATCTAATATATAAACTAACATAGTATCGAAATACAATATAATATATGCATATGTATCTGAGTTGTTGACTTTATTACTTTCATGCCATAAAGTAGAAATAAAAGTGCAAGTACAAAAAAAGAAAGAGAAATAACAGAACCTCTTCAGATATGCCCTTTCGTTTTTAATGATTTTTGTTGTCTATAAATATTACATTATATCCCAATAAAATCCGTAAAAAAGGATTTGAAATCCTGTTGATATTTGACTAAACTATCGAAAGCCCCAGATTTTCAGAAGGCTCGTATTTTTATTTGAAACTTTATGTATACAGAGAACTCAACTAGACTAGCTTCCATAAAAAGAAAATAGACATATTTTTAATTCGATAACTAAGTCAAATATCAATAAGAACATAAATCCTTTTGAGGGTTTTTATTACAACACTATGTAATGTCTATTGGCGAAAAAGATCATTGAAATTGAAAGCAGATTCCCTCATAAACGTAGACACTTACTCTTAAAAAAAAACAAATCTCATTGTTTTTAAAATCCTCTTATATTACAAAGGTTTAATAAAAATATATTATCACGCTAAAAAAAATATTCATTTTGACTCAACTTTCATCATTATTCTTATAAATGAACTGTTTCACATTTCATCACTTCCCAAACAATGAAGTTAAAGTTATGGATGTAATGATGAACTAATCATTATAAATATATACTAATAACCTAGAAAAGCTTGTCATCCTTGATGGTAAAATATTTCCTAGAGTAAACTATAAATTCTCTTCATTCTTAATAAACCAAATCAGACAAATTCAAATTAACATAATTATTCTACTCTGAAAACAAATCTTCAATAAAATTTTACCGTCTTATGATAATTAATAAAAAAAAAAAGAAAAGAAAACTTTAATTAGTTTCATTTTATGTTTATTACATTAGTTACTGTTTGTTCATCGCCTTGATAATTATTGCCTGTTTCTGGATCAATTAAAAATATTTTTGACATTTCTAAATATAAAATAAAAGAAACAATATTTTATTATTTATATATAACAATACTCTTCTTTCTGTTATCAAGTTTTTTGTTTGGTTTGTATACAGACACACACACATATATAATGAGTAATCAATAAACACAGAAGAAAAAAAAAAAGTGTGTGACTAGAATCGAATATGTTATGAGATTCATTACAAGCTTTCACAGGAGAGAAAAAAAAACAACAAAATTTATGAATAACAAATAACCATTCAGAATACTCAAACTGTAAAAATAAAAAAAAAAGAGGAAAAGTGAAAGAAATAAATCAAGCTTGAGGTGGTACTTGTTGTGGATAGGACGATGTATACTGTTGTTGTTGTTGCATGGGCATACGCGATTGATTTTGCCATTGTTGTTGCATAAGATAATTTTGTTGTGGATAATATCTTTGTTGTTGTTCATTATAATTATTATTCATAATTTGTTGATTTGAAATAATATTTTGTGTATTAGTTGAAGAATTTGATTGAAGTGGCGGATCTAAATGTTTGTTTTTTAATAGTTTAGATGAAGAAGAAAAGAAAACAAAAAAATTTAAATCTACTTTGTTGCTGATGATACATTGGATATTGTCCATAACCATTTTGTTGTATTGAATATGAATGTTGTTGTGGAATATAAGATTGTGAATAGGATGAATCCATTGTATTACTATTAAGAATACGTCCTTGTTGTAAATATGGTAATCGTTGTTGAGATATTGTAGATTTATTTACTGGATTTGAATGAGATGAAATTGATGAATTAGACGAATGTTGTTGTTCAACTGATGAATTTGTAGATGTAGATAAAGGATATAAACTTGTATTGGAATGATGAGCAGTTTGGTTTAGAGTATTTGTTTGTGTTCTATAGACTAAAGATAAATATATAATGTTAGATGATCAAACAGTTCCTGAGGAGATTAGAAAACGTTTTAAAAAGGTTTCATATTCATGCATCTTTCGCCTTGAAGCATCATCATTTTAGTGAGTTTTTCAACAAAACGTTTTGGATGATCTCGCATCATCTTTAAACTTTGAGCAAACAAGAAAATAGTTCATTGTGATACATCATCCAATGAGAGTGTTAAAGTATATAGGGCAGAAATTTGAATCCCCCTCGTCTCCTCAATAACGATTCGTAACAACATATTAACTACTTCCCTATTGCACTTTTCGAGTATTAAATAAAAAGAAAGGTGAAGAAAAATGTCCCAAGATATATAGAATAAAACAATTTCCATCTAATTATCAACAGCAACTACATTGTGTTTCACATTTTAATCCCATAGGAATCATGCTAACAACTTTTTTAATCTTTAAATAATAATATTGATGGTATTCATTTAGCAGGTGTTCCATCTTCTAATATTATCTCATATCAGAGAATTGAACACCAACTTTAATGTCACTGATTTCAGCTAAATAAGTAATAACACTTAAATTCGAAATGTTTACTTTGATCAGATTGAGTTTGTGGAGGCATATTTCCATTCTCAAAAAAAAAAATAATTTCAAATAAAAAATTTATCGTGAAAATTTCAAGAAGTTCTTACTATCAACGGTTGTTGTTGTGTTTGAATAAATGCATCTGGTGGCTAAAAATTAACAGAGAAATATTAAACTATAAATTAAAAAAATATATACATACTGGTAGATTATTTGGATGATGAGATGTTGATGGATCGAATTGAATTAAATAAATTAAATTACGATATAATGTTCGTTCATATCTAAAAATCAAAACAAAAAATATTTTTATTAAAAATATTTTTTATTTAAATAAGAAAAACTTACTCAAGACATTCGATTTGTTTTCCTTTAGATTGTAAATCAAGAATTAATGAAATTAATTGTGAATTATCATCAAGTAACTAAAAACAAAAAGAAAACAACAATTTCAAATTTTTATAAAGAAAAATTAATTTATTTACTTTTTGTATAGTAGATTTTTGTTGGAATACTGATCCCATTTGATACTGTTGTTGGGTATACATAGTACAAGTGAGGTTTTTGATGAATGAAAAAAAACAACAAGCGAAAAAAAAAATAATCAACCAATAAGATTATATAGATGACGCCGTATATCTTTTTTTACTATGCGATTGATTAATAATTATATTATGATAATTTCGAATTTTGATTATGACGAAACATTTTCTTCGAAAATCTCAAATAAATTTTTATTTTAATCGTTATTTACATGAAAAATCTCGTTTTGAAAATGGTCCTAATTTAGAATATTTTCTTAAACAACCAAAATCAAATGATTATCAGGGTAATTTAATATTAGGTAAAGGTGAACAACGTCTTCGAATTCCACCATGGTTAAAAACTGAAATACCTATGGGAGAAAATTTTACAAAATTAAAAAATACAATGTCAAAATTAAATTTAAATACAGTTTGTGTTGAAGCTAAATGTCCAAATATTGGTGAGAATATATTATTTTTTTGTCAATTCATTGACCTTGAAAATAAAAAATAGTTAGAAAAATTCTATTATTTCTAATAAATCAAAATCAGAATATTGAAAAAATATAATTTCTAATTCAATAAAAATTTCTAAAAAATATGTAAATGTTAAAATTTTCAGTTTTGTTAGTATAAAATATAAAAAGAAAAAAGATTCAGAGATAATAATATTAAGTTATTTTAAATTGACCATTTTATAGAATAGAATTCTTAATTTATAAAAATTCAACTCTAGGTGAATGTTGGAATGGTGGTGAAGATCGTATAGCAACAGCTACAATTATGTTGCTAGGTGATGAATGTACTCGTGGTTGCCGTTTTTGTTCAGTTAAAACTTCTCGTAAACCATCACCACCTGATCCAAATGAACCAGAAAATACAGCTAAAGCTATATGTTCATGGGATATTGATTATATTGTTTTAACATCTGTTGATCGTGATGATTTATCAGATCAAGGTTCATCACATATAGCACAAACAATAAGTTCAATAAAACGACAAAAACCAAATTTACTTATTGAATGTTTAACACCAGATTTTCGTGGTGATAAAAAATGTATTGAAACAATTGTTAAATCAAATTTAGATGTTTATGCACATAATGTTGAAACTGTAAGAGAATTACAATCACATGTTCGTGATTATCGTGCTAATTTTGAACAATCATTAAATGTTTTAATTTATGCAAAAGAACTAAATCCAAATTTAATAACAAAAACTTCTTTAATGTTAGGTTTAGGTGAAACAAATGAACAAATTCGAGAAACAATGCGTCAAATACGTACATATGCTAATGTTGATTGTTTAACATTAGGACAATATATGCAACCAACAAGGCGACATTTAAAAGTTAAAGAATTTATTCGACCAGAAGTATTTGAAGAATTAAAAAATTATGGTGAATCAATTGGATTTCTTTATGTTGCAAGTGGACCACTTGTTAGATCATCTTATCGAGCTGGAGAATATTTTATTAAAAATATTCTTAAAACTAAACGTCAAAAAAAAGAAGCAGTTAATGTTTGATTGTAAATGAGAGTTCATTTTTCTAGTTAGATTTTGGAGAATTTATTTATTTGTCATTTAAGAAATCTTTGATGATTACTATGCAAAAGCGGATTTTTTTTGTCAAATAAAAAGATCTTTCTTTTTTGTTTTTAGATATAAATTTACAATAATCAATTAAATATTTCTAATATTAATCATTGATTAATATGAATATTTTCATTGTAAATCGTTTATTATGATTGGTTAAACAAGCAAATTTCTATTGTACATAGTCGGTAATTGAATATTATAAAAATAATAATTGAGACTTGTTATTATTTATCTGGGTAATAAATCATAGTCATTGTAAAAGTATGCTTCGAATATAGATAATGTTTTACTACTATACTAGTTAGTTCGTTTCGTAGAATCACAATTGAAAAGTCTTAGAATCGATTCTACTTGTAATAAAATGATATTTTTCTTTTAAAAAAATTGTTCACTGACATTTATTTTAAATAAAATATTTTTAATATTTATCACAACTTAAAATGTATGACTGTTGATAGATATATATATATGTATGTCAAGAGAAGATTTCTTTATGATATTCAATGTTCTCTAATAGCATAGTATCATACAGAATTTGTTTGTTCGAAATATTTTCAATGAATCTATTCATTTGAATGCATACGACCTTGTTCTAGCAGGAATCTACTGAAAACTGATGAAAAATCTCCGGATTTTTCGTATGGGTTTCAAGCAACTTCCTGTTATTTCCGATGGCAAACGATCAGAAGTCACCGAAAAAAAAAATCCAAAACCATTCCAATCTGAAATGCTGCTTTCACATTTCACCAATTTTCAGTGTTTTTCAGCCGGATACGATAGTTTTCTCATATTTCTTTGATCAGTTCTATCAAAATCTGCTTGTTTTCGGAGACTGAAATCATCGACTTCAGCATACGTAATAGTTCAATCTATATATATTTTTTCATTTGTGCACATATGACAAAGCTTAAAATATTTAATCTTATTGTTTTTCAAAACTTCGAAATAAATAATTTCTTTTTACTAATTCTATCAAATATTAATTGACGATCGTATATGGTTGTGTATAATTGAATATAAATTGATTTGCATGTTTTTAGACTCGTTTTTTTTTTCTTTCATACATGTTATTGACAATTCATCTGTTACCATTCAAATAAAAACTACAATATATATAAAGAAGGAATTGAAGCAAAAAAAAATTATTTTTAATTAAACAAAATTATTTTTGACCTATTTCAGATGTTATTTCGACATCTCTCTTGGCGTCTATATCGTAATCGTCATAGATTAGTAGTAATACTTTTTATTACTTTTTTTATTATATTTTTCTACTATGATAATAATAAGAATTCATCAATTACATCCACAACTCTAGTTAAAAGACAAGTTAGAAATATTAATGAAAACAAAATACGTATTAATCGAGAAACATATACAATACCTGAACCATGTCATGGTTGTCCAGGAGAAAATGGTGCAAGTGTATCTTTATCGGTAATTGAAGAATATACAAAAAGAAAAATCTTAATTTAATATTAGTATAATTTATTTTCTCTAGGCTGAAGAATCAAAAGGTTTAGATGCAATTATGAAAAAAGAATTTTTTAATTTACATGCAAGTGATAAAGTTTCATTATGGAGATCAATACCTGATACTCGAGATCAATTGTATGTTAAAAAAATAAAATTTTTTTTAATGTTTATTTAATTTATACAAAACTATAGATGTAAATCAGTTGACTATCCACATGATTTACCAAGTGCATCAGTTATTATTATATTTAAAAATGAACGTTGGTCACCAGTACTTCGAACTGTTTATTCAGTTCTTAATCGTTCACCAAAACATTTATTAAAAGAAGTTATTTTAGTTGATGATCAATCCGATATTGGTAAAGAGAAATTCTACAAGAAAATAAAATAGTTTATTTTTCAAATTATTTAGAGGAAATGGGACAACGTTTAGATGATTATTGTGAAGAACATTTTGGAGAATTAGTTAGAATATTACGAGCACCAACGAGACTTGGATTGATTAAAGCAAAAAATTATGGTGCAAGAAATGGTTAGTTTTAGTTTGAAATCAAAATAAAACATTTATTTTTGTTTTTGATTTGTATAGCTACCGGTGATGTTGTGATTTTTCTTGATGCTCATTGTGAAGCAAATGTTGGATGGTAAAGAAAAACATAATTATCTTTTGTTTCAATTAAAATACTTATTTTTTTTTTTGTATAGGTTAGAACCCCTTTTGCTTCGAATTAAACAAAAACGTTCAGCAATTTTATGTCCAATGATTGATATGATTAGTGAACGTGATATGCAATATGGTGTAAATGATATTTTTAATTTGTTATTGATTTAAATTTGTTTGTTATATAGGGTACTGGGACTGGAAGTGTCGGTGGTTTTTGGTGGTCATTACATTTCAATTGGATACCAATTCCAAAACGAATACTTGATGCACAAAAATCAAAAATTGATCCTTATCCGTATGTATATTATGTAGATTTTATTGAGGAAATTTGAATCAAATTACAATTATTATTTCAATTATAACAAAAAAAAAAGAAACCGAGTAGTTTGAATTCAAAATTTATATTGATAGTTTTATAAATTTTAGCAGAACAAAAATGTTTCTAAGATTAAATTAGAAAATATAATGTTTATTCTAAGGAATGAAGACGGCGAATGTCTTAAATTTGACTACTACTTCTCGATTATATATTTATCTCATTTAAAAAAGTACTAATTATTGAGCTTTTTTTACAGATCAGTAATGAAAATACACAAAGATTTCGATGATAGTGTATGTTAGTGCGCGTTAGGTCTTGTTCGGAACTGGTCCATACTCTAAAAGTGATAGTCAATGATGATTTGATTATTATAAGATCATCGTTAAGATTGTCTGAGAAATATGTATGACATATTAGTAGCAAAACTCGAAGCGAGTAAGAGATTTAGACTAAAAAATTTCGTTGAAATTAGGAGTGGGGCTCGGTTCCGAATCCAAAAAAGTTTAATCAACCGCATCTGAATGAAAAAAAGAATAATGAAATTCACGATGTCAAATAGATTTAAAAAACTCTGAATGAATAAGAATTCTTCGTTTTTTTCCTCTTTAGATCACCAACAATGGCTGGAGGTCTTTTAGCAGCCGATAGAAAATATTTCTTTGAAGTTGGTGGTTATGGTAAAATTTTTACATATGATTGATTCGATTAATTTTTTATTTTGTTTTTCTTTTTTAAATTTAGACGATGATATGGAAGTAAGATTTTTCTATTTTGTTTATTATAATTGAATTATTTTGTATTTAATATATAGGTTTGGGGAGGTGAAAATTTAGAAATCTCATTTCGTGTATGGATGTGTGGTGGTAGTCTTGAATTTGTTCCATGTTCTCGTGTTGGTCATATTTTTCGACCAGGTCATCCATATAACATGACTGGATTGAAAGGTAACTATTGAAAATTTTCATCATCTAAAAAATAAATATAATTTTCTAGGCAAAGGTGATGTACATGGTCGTAATTCGATGCGTTTAGCTGAAGTTTGGATGGATGATTATAAACGTTTCTATTATATGCATAGACGTGAACTTCGAGTAAGATTTTTTTATTTTCGATGAAAGATAATTAATATTGAATTATTTTAATTTAGGATAAAGATTTTGGTGATGTTGAAGATCGTCGTGCTATTCGTAAACGTTTAAATTGTCATTCATTTAAATGGTATCTTGATAATGTCTATCCAGAAAAATTTATTTTAGATGAAAATGTTCATGCATATGGAGAAGTAAATAAAATTTTTATAAATAAAATTTTCATATAAATTTATTATTTTATTTTTCTTAGCTTAGAAATCCTACTTCAAGTTTATGTTTAGATACATTAGGTAAAGATGAAAAAGGATCAATAAATCTAGCAGTTTTTTCATGTCAAAATGGTGCATCAGCTAATCAATATCTTACACTTTCAAAAAAAAATCAATTACGTCGAGAAGATACATGTGCAGTTACTATGAATTCAAATTCAGTTGTTTTAAATATGTGTGCTTATAGTGATCAAACACAAACATGGACACATGAAAAAGTAATAAACAAAAACAAAAGATAATTTTGTTTTAATCAGATTATGATTGTTTTTTTTTTGTTTTGTTTTTTATTAAAGAATGGACCAATTATTCATCATCCGAGTAATCTTTGTCTTGATGTCGAAGGTCTTTCAAATAATGAACAAATTAAATTAAAAAAATGTGAAACTAATAAACCATCACAACAATGGTTATTTGAACATTATTTAACATAATTATTTCTAAAAAACATTCCTTTACTGTTTTTTATTTTTTTTGCATTTTTGATCTTATGAACAGTACTATTACTAATATTTGATAATCATTTTCTGAATTGTTATTTTTTATTTTGTTTTTTTTTGTTTTGTTATTAATTATAAAATAACTCTAGTAATATACTACTAACTCTCAATTTTTCTTTTTATTTCATACTAAGTACGTGATATATGTTGTTGAATTTTTATTTATACAGTTAAGTAATAAAAACAAGAAAAGAAAAAATTATTCATATATTTTATTCGTTTTATATTAAATTGAACTTATAAATTGTAACAAATATTAAGAATTTATATATATTTGAAAATGAATTTTACTTGTGAAAGACTTCAAATTAGTGGAAATATTTCTGATGATGTCATTCGCTTAGTCATCACCGATGTAATGTCACCATCATGTTGAATTGTTGTGACATTTCAAATAGTTTATAAACAAAATAGAACAACATTATTTAGTTTTTATTTATTAGAATTAACGAAAACAACTTAGGAAGTACAGAGTATGTGAAAACAGTAGATTTTGTATACACATTTAGATGTTAATAGATCTATAAAAGAACAGATCTATTTTATTTTTTAGACATTTAATATCTTAATTGACGTTTTAATTTATAATTATACTAATTTTTAAATAGGTATATAGAAATTAGAATATTAAAAAAAGTTTCTTTCAAAATAATTATCATTATACGTAATTAAACTTTTTATCTTTATAGATTAATGGCAAACACTAAAAAACGAAAAGTTACTGAAAAAAAAGAACCTATTCTTCAAAAAAAAATCAAGAAAAAACAAACAAAGAAGACTATTCCATCAAAAAAACAAGATCAACTTGAAGTCGAACTTCCATTAACTACAAATATCAATAAACTAGAAAAATCATTGAGTAATTTAGTTTGTGATGCATCATGGTCAGAAAATCTTCAAGATTTATTTAATACTAATAATTTTAAACAAATTGAACAATATCTAAGTAATTTATGGTCAACTGGTAAAAAAACATATCCTCCAAATGATCTTATTTTTGAAGCATTTAATAAAACACCATTTGATAAAGTTAAAGTAGTTCTTCTCGGTCAAGATCCATATCATGATGATGGACAAGTAAAAACAACAAAAAAATAAAAATTCTTTTTATTTTTGTTCTTAAATAATTTTTCTAGGCTCATGGATTAGCTTTTTCTGTACCTAAAGCAATGACAATATTACCACCATCTTTAAAAAATATTTATAAAGAATTAGCAAATGATATAACATCATTTCGAATTCCTGATCATGGTTGTTTAGGTAAAAATGTCAAGTATACATTAAATCAATTCTTTTTTTTTTTTTTGCTCTTTAGAAAAATGGGCAAATGCAGGTATTCTTTTACTCAATGCTTCATTGACAGTCGAGTAAGTTTAACAAAATATTTTCTAAATGGAATACTACGCAAAATTATAAGAATAAAGTTTTGTTAACTTTTTTCTCTGTGATGTTGAACCAAACCAAATTTTATTGATTCGATCTTTGATATCGAACATTTAACTCAAATCCAAATAGTGAAATTGCATAGCTAATAAAGCTCTCTATCAAATAGAAATCTGCATGGAAGTCATTTTTAGGAGCGATTGAAGTTCTCTAAATTGAATACTACAGATTTTTCTGAATGATGAGTTTTCATCGATTCACATCTTTACAGGGCTTTACAAAGATGAAGAAAAGTCGAAATCGAGATCGATTTCGAGTTCTTCTCATGAACATAGACCTCTAAGAGACATCAATCCAAATTCTGAAAACATAGCAGTTTGTACAGTGAATATCAAACAATAAAACTTAGAATTCAAGAAATCTTTTATATTAATTTGATTTATTAGTGAGACATTTAGTTGACTGCGTTACAAGTCTCTAAGTTTCAAAATTGGACTAGGTGTGAAAGTTTTGTAAAAAAAAAAACAATCGAATATGGTAGTTTTCATCTCCAAGATGACGTTGAAAGAGTTTGTTTTTGAGCATTAAATTCTGAATAATATGTGAGGAGTTACCGTATTTTTTACGGCCTTCCATTACAAATTGACGAGTATCACACAACACAAAAATAACGCACTTTTTAGCGGCTTCTTGATAAAAATTTTGTTTTTTTTTCACGTTTCATATTGCTTGTAAGTTTGAAAGAGAAGGTCGTAAAAAATGCGACGATCTCTCATAGGGTTCAGCGCTTTCAAATAGCATTATTAAAAACCGACTGTTTCAACATCTCCTAAGACATGACTTGATATATAATGTATCTAATAGAGACTATCCAAGAGTTAGATACTCGACATCATAGAAGAAAAAATCAATAATATCTTGCTATTATAATTTTGTGCAGTATATTATATATTTACTTATCTTTTCAGACCTCATTTACCAAATTCACATTCTCGTATTGGTTGGACACAATTTACTGATGATGTTATTAAACTTTTATCAACTAAACGTAAAGGTTTGATAGATAAATTTCTTTATTTTCTACAATAATAAATTTAAAAAAATAACATAGGTCTTGTTTTTCTACTTTGGGGTGGTTATGCTCATGCAAAAGAAAAATTAATTGATCAAACAAAACATACAATTATCAAAACTGCACATCCATCTCCATTATCATTTAATAAATTTTCTAATTGTAAATGTTTTTCTCTTGTTAATGCAGCTCTTGAAAAATATGGCGAAGAACCAATTGATTGGTCTCTTTAAAATAAATTCTAATTTGAATACTTTTCTTTTTCTTGTATCCAATAATATATATATATATATATATATATATGTATATATATTTGATTATTAATATATTTACGTTTACATAAAACAAAAGACAAAGAAATTCAGTAGAAAGAAAAAGAGACATACAAGCAAAACAATTATAAACATAAAATATTGTCTTTATGAGTTGATCAAATGAATTAGAACAACAAAACAAACAAAAGCAAAATAAGCGAAAGAAGAAAAAACAACAACAACAACAAAAAAAAAACGAAAATGTTGAGCATCATCACGGGTTGAGTATTAAATATAATCTCACCGGAAAAATCAGAAGAAAAAAGAATTGATAAAATGAGAAATCAAGAAATAATATGAAAGATACTATAAATTTTTTATATGAAGAATAAATCAATGGAAGTTTTATATAATTATATTTCATCTTCACTTGATTCTTCTTCCGTATCATCATCCTCAGAAGGAGGTGCTGAAAAATGTTCCGCTATTGTTGGTACTGAAAATCTTTGGGGTCTAAAATTAACAGAAAAAAAAAATAAATCGTTTTATATTAATTTTTGTTTTTAAATCAAATTATAAATCAAACAATAAAAACAAATGGGAGCAGGATTAAAAAACACACACAAGATATATATATATATACCATATCTCTCGTATTGTTCGCATAATTTGAATATAAGAGGATCTATTGAGTAATTATGATGAAAAATAAAACCAACAAAATTCTAAATTAATTATATTATTAACATACTTATTAATATTAACAGCATCTTCTGGCGAAGAATTTGAACGATTACGTGGTGCTACACCCAAAGCGTATGTATTTAATGTATTAGTTTCTGTTGAGCTAGTTTATACATAATCCCATGTGTTAAATTAAAAAGCAAAAAAAAAAAGGATTAATAGAAATATTTACTTACTTATTGGGAACAAAATTATTTAATGGAACTGATATATGAGTAGATAATTTTTGATTAGATGAATTATTTAAAATAATAGGTGCATGACTTGTTTTCTAAATATGAATATATTTTCGATATGAATTTAAATAGAATAAAAGAAAAAATTAATTTTAATTTACTGAAGATCGTGATCGATGATTATTATCCTTATTTACTGGAATGCTTGTTCGACCTGATGGTAAAGGTGCACCTGGCATTAATAATGTTTGTCCACTAGCACTTAATCCATCGTTATTCAGTGGATTTGGAGATGTCGATGATGATGATGGCGATAATGGTGATCGATTTGAAAATACACCGAAAAATTTTTTTGAAAAACCTTTCTTTTTCGATGATACTGGTGATGTACGACCAGAATGTGAATTTGTATCGGTTGTTGTAGTTGTTGTATTACTTGTAAAACTTGCACTACGTACATTAGGATGTGTATCCATTACATGATGAAAATTATCCAGTTCGGAACCAAAATCAGGTATTGGACTAATACTGAATACATAACAAAGTTTTTGTAAATCTTCATATTTTAATCGCTGTCGTTGTTCATATACACGTGAACGAAGACTTGGCGATTTAATAGCAACATCTACTGAATTGAGCAATAATGTAAGAAAATAAGAACAAAATGATTTATCATATATTAATATTCCACCAGGCGGATCAATTATTGATGTTATATCATTTCGACGCCACATACCAATCTTAAAATAAATATAAGAAAAGACATTGTTATTATTTTTTTGTTTTGTTTTTTTTGTTTTCATTTTACTTTATAATGAAGTTTTTCATCTTTTATAATTGGTTGTACAGTAATATAAATTTGTGTAACTTTTCCCGAAATAAAATCTGGTGAAAAATTTGCACCTTGTTCTTGAAAAACAATACAAACAAATGCATTTCCAATTAAACCTTTTCTTATAGTACATTTTTCATCAGCATTTGTTGATGGTACTAATGGTGCTATATTAAACATTATTTCATGATTTTTATATTCAGCATGATATGAATGTTCTCCATGTGAACCATTTTTTGTATCAAGATCACCACGATATTTTTGAAAACCTTTTAAATTAACACGTTGAGATATTCGATCAAGAAAATTTAACATTTCATTTGATGGTTGATCATTATTAAATATATCATATTCATTTGTTTGATTAAAACGTTGATAAATAACACCAATTTTACAATTATATCTTTCATCATTTTTTTTATCAAATGAATAAATTTTTTCATTCGCCTGTTAATAATAATTTTAAAATGAAA